TGGGCTTTCGAATGGTGTATGAATTATTTGTGTTGTTATTACAAGTGTTGCTGTGACCCCCTAGGAAAAGGTTATGCCCCGCCCTGTATATTTGCTAGGCCAGCTTTAGTGGATGGGTGGGTCTGCCTACATATCCATATAATGTAAAAATGATTCTTGTAATGGTCTAGTAAATTGCTTGGTACTTAACATACACTAAGATAGTGGTTTATCAGTTAAAATCCTTACTAAAGTTGTGAGATTATACTGAGTCTGCATATATTTGATATAAATATATAAATTGATTATATACATTTTCTTGATTATTGGATTGTTCTATAATGGAAGCCATTATTTTAGTTAAGTGATAAAGCAATAATAAAACGTAAAACTTGATGGTATCTAGGTGTCTTCGGAACAGAACATGAAAAGGATATTTGCCTAATCTACGATATCGAATAGAGTAGGTAAGCCCCAGGTTCCCCCCACCTTTCTGTGTTACCTTTTAGTGGGACCTAGGAAGTGTGCCTTTTCCATAGTAGCCCCTGTGGAATGTGCTTTTCCTTAGAGATTTGTCAGGCATTCCCTATCTTAACCTCCCAGAAGGCCATAAACAGGTGACTCTTCTCCCAAGTGTAGGTATAGAGTGAGCTTGGAGTCTGAAGATGGTGGTATTGATTTGCATTGTTGGAAATTGGTTGTGGTGCCTGGGATTTTTCTGTTTTGTCTTTTTATGGTATTTAATTCTATACTATTGCTATTTGCCAGCCAGAGTTATGTCTCTTAAGATGGGTGGCCATATGAATCTTTTAAATAAATAAATGTTGGCAGTAAAACACATTCTACTGGGAAATCTAAAAGACCTGGTGTGGCAGGACTTGTTTCCTAAAGTGTGTAATTATTTATCCTAGTTGCATTTTCTTATCTGTGATTCTCACTAAACTCTTGGATAATGCAGATTCTTGTGAATTGGAGCTTATGTCCTAACAAATGTTTAGCAGAAAGGGAGAATAGGGGGAATAAATGGTAAAGTCAGCACACACATTTTTTTAAACACAGGATGATAAAGATGTAACATTATTATTGTTTTAATAATATGTTAAAATAATGGTAAATAGCAAATATTATATAGTTGCTCCTATCATAAAGTGTTATAATATAGGAATGATCACTGATACATAAGGATAGTGTATGACATTATTGATCAGATTATAGCCATTGACTTTCCATTTCTAATGAAAATTAGAATTATGAAGCTCTTTCCAGGAGGAACAGCTTCACCCATTGGAAGAGTTCTCTTTAGTTATTTTTTTTTTCGTGCAACTGGAAACTCTAGCTTTTGTAAAATCAACAAGCTAGTTTAACACAGTTTTGCTTCCATTCTAGATTCCATAAACATTGATGTTTAATTGGTTGTTTTAGTAAAAAGCAAAATGGTTGAAAGCTTTTATTAAGACTGAACTATCCTATATATCTTAGAATTACCTATTTCAATGCAAATTTTAAAATACACTCTCTTCCCCTAGCTGTTTTAGTATGTATTCATTCTGTGTATGGCTATTTTTTTAATACTATCAAGAACAATAAATGTTCTCTAATTTTTAAAATTGTAGGTACCTACAGCGAACAGTAAAACATCCAACCTTATTACAAGATCCTGATTTAAGACAGTTCTTGGAATGTTCTGAGGTATTTAATTCTATTTTCCCATTTATTTAGTTTTATATATTACATACCAAACAATTATATGTGGATACCTGGTTTTATGCACAACTACCGTGTTTCCCCGAAAATAAGACAGGGTCTTATTTTCTTTTGATCCACAAAATATGGCTTGGACCTTATTATCAGGGGGGGCTTATTGTTTTGGGGGGCTGCTCCCTTGCGAGCGGTCTCCTGAAGAGCTGGGCACAGCCTCAGGGGTGAAGCAACCATGAGGTGACATGCTCACAAGCAGCCACCCGGCAAGCCCCCTCTCCAGTCAGGCAGAGTGCCATTCACTAACCTAGGGGACATCCCTAAGGCACCAAACCATGTGACGCTCTGCCCGCTCCCCAGCTCCCGCGGCTTGGCACATTCGGGATACCCCCCTAGGTCAGTGCATGGAGCTCTGCCCGGCTGGAGATGGTGGTTGTGCAAGCACCTGTTCTGCCCCCAGCTCGCATGCCTCCCTGCCTCATCATGCCCTGGCCCAGCTCTCCCTGCAGGACCAGGACACCGCCACCACTTTCACCATTGCCGCTGCGCTTTGAGCATAACTTCTTCTCCGGCTTCCAAACTCCAGAACTCGGCTTCCAATTATATCCAGCAACAGCTCTAGGAGTGCGCTCTATGGTTGTGGGCCAGCTGCCATAGGGCCCACAACCATAGAGCGCACTCCTAGAGCGGTCGCTGCTGGAAGAATCGGAGGCCGAGTTCTGGAGTTTGGAAGCCGGAGAATAAGTTATGCTCAGAGCGCAGCGGTGGCGGCGAAAGCGGCGGTGCCACCTGGCCCTGAAGGGAGAGCTGAGCCAGGGCATGGTGAGGCTGGGAGGCATGCGAGCTGAGGGAAGAACAGGCTCTTGCGCAACCACCCTGTCCTGCCGGGCAGAGCTCCATGCACTGCCCTAGGGGGTATTCTGAATGTGCCAAGCCGCAGGAGCTGGGGGGGCGGGCAGAGCGTCACATGGTTTGGTGCCTTTGAGATACCACTAGGTCGGTGAGCGGTGCTCTGTCTGGCTGGAGGAGAGGTTGTCCAGGGGGCTTATTTTCATGGGGAGGGCTTATATTTTTGCCCATGTGAAAAATGTGGCAAGGCCTTAGTTTCAGGACAGGTTGTATTTTCGGGGAAACACAGTACAGTGCTGTTAACAAACTTCCATTATTTAAAGTTAGAGCGAGTGAAATCCTCTTTTCTTGCTGGCATTTGATAAGTAATCTGATTAACTCTGGAAACACTATTGTGTCTCTGTTTCAAAATGTGATCGTTGTTATCGGATTACATCTTTGTATTACAAGAACAAAAAAGCTTGTAATCATTTAATTCCCTTCAGTCACCAGTACTGTCAATTTGACATTTCATTTAAAAGTAGAAAATTATCTTCAGAAAAATTTCTAGCTGGATTACTATACAGCTGATGTAAACTTTCCTGCTGATAAATGTTCCAGATTTCCAAATTATTCAGTGTATCCTAAGATGGTACTGTAAAGCCTAAAAAACTGCTGTTTAGTGAAAGAAAATGCTGGAATTTTAGCCTGTTATTAACATCATGTTAACCGAAGAAACTTGATTCAGGTTCCCAAACCCTTTTTTTTTTT